ATCCAACACCATCTATTCAAAAATTAGAAGATATTTCTGGTAAAAAATCTTGTTTTTGACCAGATTTAATTGAAGAATTATAAAAAAGCTTTTATGTTGACAATTGTGTCACGGGTTTTAATTCAATTGAAGAATGTTCTGAATTCATTACGCAGTCAGAAGCTATCATGGATAGAGGAAAGTTTGACCTACGAGGCTGGGAGACACCATTCTCAATAAAAAAAGACCCCTCCAATAAAGAGTTCCTATCGCCTGTGTTAGGGTTAAAATGGGACCGTTATCAAGATATCCTAGAACTTTCATTTGACTGGTTTAAGAATTTAAATTTGGAAAACATAACTAAAAGAACGATTCTGTCGTTTTCCAATAAAATTTTTGACCCGATTGAAGTTTCTGCTACAACTTCTATTTTTGCAAAAGTTTTACTGAAAAAAAGATGATCTATTAAATTATTGTGGGATATGGAAGTACCAACAGATATAAAAAATGAGTTTTTAAACTGAGTCAAAGATTTAAACCTGTTGATTAACCTTAAAAAATTCCGAAATGGCTACTCAATTTTACTGATAATGTTTACAATACTTGGAGCATTCACTTTTTCTGGGATGCAAGTGCTTACGCTTATTCTGCTATGATATTTTTGAGATCAGAAGCCCATTCGGAAGTCAATATTCAATTGATCCAAGCAAAAACCAGAGTTGCACCCCTAAAGCAAATGAGCTTTCCTAGATTAGAGAGATAGTGGCTGCTACAATGGAAGCCATATTACTTTCTAGTTTCTACTGATTTAGAAAACTTGGATTTCCGTAATCCTCCCGTGTTCTGCTGTTCAGCTTCCAGTACTGTGTTGTTTTGGTTACGAAGGGAAGACCAATGGAAAACTTTTGTATGAAACCGAGTATAAGAAACAAAATTGACAGATGGAATTTTGTCCCCAAAGAGTGCAATCTTTCGAATGGTTGCTCTGCAAAGAAAATTGCTGGAGTCAAAATGGTGGGATGGTCCTTTCTGACTGTATACCATTGCATTGCAGAAGAAAGAAAGAAACATGCATCGTAAACTGCAACAAGATTTCTGATTAGGGTATGGATCAGAAGATTTACATTGAATTGCAAAAAACCTACAAGTGGTAACACTAATATCGTAAAATCCAAACATGCACTTAGAAGTATCTGAGATTTAAAATGCAGAAAAGCGTGTTGTCAGAGTGATACAAGAGGTATCTTTTTCTAATTTACAAGATCAAATTCTACAATCTCTTAAAACAAAAATCGTAGAAAGAGAAGATACAAAAAACTTTAGATCACCTATGATTCGTTTAGTCAATCACCCTGTATAGTCGCTCGATATTGTTTTAAAAGATATTCAAAATTCTAACTTTTCAGATATTGATCAAGTAGATTCTTCATTTCTTAATGGCCGTTTGAGATAGGTATATAGATTGAAATTAAAAACTGATCTAAAGAACAGATTTAGATCTGAATATCTTGGTCAACTAAATTTAAAGAGAAAATTTAAAGAAACACGCCCTATTAAAAAAGAAGATATAATACTGATTGGATCTAACACGAGCAAAATGGATTAGCTATTAGATCTAGTATTAGAAGCCTATCCTGGAAAGAATAACCACATTCGAGTAGTGAAATTGAAAACAACCAATGGCACTATTGTCAGACCTACACAAAAATTATTTTCTATTGAACATACCACAAAATAGAAATAAATTCAATTAAAGAGCTAAGAGAGTGACAAGCTTCTAATTATCACACATATTTAAATTAATTTGTAATTATTCATAACAATCTACAGATTGAAGAGTTAACAATTTTAAAATCAATTTCCGCACGCCAGAAAAGTTACAACTTCTTTCCTTGGCGAAGTTCCTTAATAATGTTTATTATAATATATCTCTCAAAAGTTTCTTTTTTGTTTACGAGTGACATTAATTTAATATTGTTTCGCCCGTGTGACCAACAGCTGGTTTATGGTTCAGCCGTCGAGATTAAAGAAATTCCGCAGAAGTTACGAGGTAAATCAACTTAATTGTCTCCGTAAATAACTTTCCGGAATTAAAGCAGAGAAATTTTTTGTAATTAACCTCGGAATGAAATTAAATTTTCAGCTTAGGTACTCATTGTCCATTTTCTTTGGAAATAAAACATTTAACGCAAACGAATTCCGTAAATTAGATTTAGGGGTTGCAAAAATTTCATTTAATAATATTGTCAAGCATAAATATTTATAAGGAAAACACAAAAATTCACGTTTTCAATGCCGGAGTTTAATTAAAATCTTTATTTACATATACACTTACATTTTATAATTGGGGAGGAGTGACGTCAGCGTAGAGGTTAATAATTAAAGCGAGTTAAAATTTCAATGACGCCGATAAAAGTTGAAATAAGTTGTAAGTTTACATAAACTTTGGTATTCATTTAGTTTAAAAGGTAAATATCGTTTCAGGAGCGGAGTGCCCCCGAAAACTCATTGGAATTAATCAATGCTGCGGCTTTATCAAACCGACTGTAAAGGCAGAATGAATTCATGAGGTTTAATTTTAACTCAACAATACGCTATTTTGTTTCGTAAAGGGTTTGTTAGATTAGATAAAACGTTTCTAAAACAAGTCAAAGTTTTCGCCTAAATTTCGGGCGACGTCGCCGTCGCCGTGTCTGTTAAGCGTAGGCGACTAATTATTTACGGTTCACTTTGCAAACAGGCAACAGATTGTTAGCAAGCTTTTAATATACACGAAGCGCGAAGTTCCAGAATTTTGTACGATCTCGATCGATCCAACCTTTTTTTTTAACTTGCTTGTAAGTATGTTGTTCCGCAATCAGGTTTGGGGGAACAATACACTGTTAAAGCACCACATGAGCATTATCTGGAACTTTGTGCAGACACAAAGAGCGCCCCCGTAACTTTCCCTTTAAAGTCTTTCATTTTGTGGTTACCTCAAAACAAAACACACACGCGACTTTGGTGTACGTTCAAATACCCTGCGGGAAACGTCGTTTATTCCTGGTATGATAAACTCAAACTTTTGTCAATTCGGTTTCCTTTACAGTAATGAATTAATTAACTCGGTCTAACAAATCCTCAGAGTCTTTGTCTTGTCTGTATATTTATTTTGCAAGCACAATCTTCCGCTTTCACTATGTGAAGAAGCCGAGAAACAACAGTCTATTGTCTGAAATGAACTGTAATGTGTGTAAGTATGCTGAATTCCATCCTCGGCAACTTATGTAATAGTCGAAGTCCAGTACATTTAGTTCGAATGTGGTTTGTTCAAGTTGTACGCACAATGGTACAAGTCCAGTATAAGAATTTAGTATTAAGAAATTATTTGTTACAAAATTATAAGCAAGTCATTTTTAATGTTTTTTTTTAACTGGTAGCTACTGAAATGAGGCGAAGACTGAAGAGCCAACTTGAACAATAAATGTATAGGTTGCTTTTCAGTGTTCAGAGTGTTCTTGTCTCCAAACGTAATTTCATTTTTCCAGAAAATCGAAAAAAAAACGAAAAATGTCTACCCTTACACCCTGCGTAGGTGGTCAAAGCTGTTGATTAAAATAAATTACTTTCTTCAAGCTAAAGCTATTGCCCAAGCTGGCCTACGATTTTTGATTACCCTCAACGGAAGTAAGGCCGGAGATACTTTAGATAAACTGTAATTTGATCTGTTTTCCAAAGCCCTGGAACCCCCGAATATTTAATTACGGTTTGAGGATACTAGAGAATTATAACATTCCTCTAAGCCGTTACTTCAGATACATTATGATTATGCGTTTTAAGAATAAACTGATAAATTACTGGGAACAAATCTCTTGCGAGATGGTAGCATAATCCTACCCGTCACAAAAACTTTCATAAATTTGTGAAACTACGATCTAGTGGTTGTACTAAATAAGCATTATGGAGTAAATTGATTTTTAAAGGAAGGAAGGGGGAAGGATGGGGGGGAAGGAATGGGCCCACCACCACCCCTGCTTGTCTTGGTCAAGCAGTCCACTTTCGGGATAGGAAGTCACTTGGCAAGGTTGCACGTTGTGTGGGAAATGACAAGTAAAAACTTCTAAGGTCCTAAAGTCCAAGATGGCAGGATTAGGATCGTAACTAAAGATTAATTAATTGAGAAATAAAATGGAGGTGGGGCGTTGGCCATTCGCAAGTGGCTCAAGTGGTCCCACTGAACCCCCGAATATTCACTTACCGTTTAATGCTACCAGAGATTTATAGCATTCCTCCAAGCCATTGCTTTAGATACGTAAGACGTTTTATGAATAAACTGATAAATAACTGGGAACAAAACTCTTTCCAGATGGTAACATAACCCTTAAGCTTGAATAAACTAAACCCGGATCAACGATTTAGAGGATTGCCATACATGTTCCGGCCTAGTAGAGTTTCCTCACTAAACACCAGAACTAGTACGATAGTGCGCGTTTCCCGACACGCTTGTGGACGCTTTATTAGAAGGCGATTATTTTATGTGCAGAGTTAGATAATTATAGAGAGAAACAGGTGCGCACCTGTACATCAGAACAAGATTTCTGTATATAGTCAAGAGTAAATAGAACCGGATAATTAAACATCTGAGTAGAACAATTTTAAACAGATCATTTACCTAACATGACTTTTCAACTGGTTAGAGTAGGTAAATACTCTCAGTACATTATACGAGTATGCAACATCGATTGGAGATATTGTAAAAAAAGAAAGATCCTACCTTTATAAGGCTGCCCTTCTGGAATCTAGAACAAAGAAAAAATTGCGTTAGGGCGATGAAAGAATTAAGTTCATTTAAGAATCCTTAAAATAGTTTGATTAAACTCAATGCGCCTTACCAGGCTTGCTTTAGGTATATGTTATCTTATGAAAATGCATGTCCACTGGAAGGGACCTAACATGAATTCTGATTGTCAAAAGGCCATCAGTAATTCAATTACTGTGATTACTACACTTATGTTCTAATTGAAGTGAAAAAAAAACATACCCTTAGCCTTATGGATGTCTGCAAGAAACGCAGCAATGACTGCACACCGTGAAGAGGTCAGGATTCCTCTGTAACCCAAACCTGAAAATTGAAATATTATAAATTACCAAAGGCTTCTAATATAATAATGCGGATAATTTGTAATTTCCGCGTAAAGTGACATTAGAAATTAATTTTCCGCATTCGATAGACAAATACTTTTTAAAAAATCTTAAAAATTTTTTAATTAAGGCCAACAAATTGCAAAGTCATGTACGTCTATTACAATTTTCTGAAAAAATGCTAATATTTTACGTTACGTTACGTCAACCTACATGAAGTTGTTCTCCCAAAAGCAATATTCAAAACCCTTTAAGTTGTGACCGTTTTGTGCTGAGTTGTGGGGTTATTCTCACGTTTCGTATGTCAATATTAACGAAGAATTTTTTATATGGGTGTTAAAGCACAGATTAACCCAAATGAGCACAATTCTGGTACAACTTTAATTCCTTGTGGGTAAGATCTATAGGTGACATATGATGAAAAAATGAACAATGGTTTTTTACATTAAAGGCTGTCACTTACCTAGGTCGATTGAACCTTGACACTTTTCGCCAGTGTCGGACTTGTTTGGAAATCAAGGGACGTGAGACCTTTGAATGCCTTGTAGTTACCTCATCACAGGTGCTGCAAACGATCGAAGAGGTTAGTTCGTCCATCAAAATGAAGAAATACATTCAATGAGCTTTGGGAACATTTTAGAGTCAACTTACATAAATAATTAATAGACAGTTATATATAGAAGAAACAATTTATGAGACTCAATTAACCGTCTTTGATAAAGGGGGTCGTACAGGGTGGCGCTGTGGTATTCCAGGGGAATTTTTGAGGACAACAAGAGACAAGGGAAAAAGAGGACAAAGAGGACCAATTGAATTTATACATAAAACAGATGCATGATACCTTTGGTGGAAACAAATGCCAAATTTAAACAAGGGTGGAATTCATAGATATTGCCTGAGTTACATTTATACTTTACTCATACTTAGCGTGTACTTAGTAATCTTCAAAGATATAATTGCTAAGGTGACATGACATTATTGCTATAGTAACACGCGAAATACGAACAGTTAAGCAGGAATACCAGCAGTAAATATAAGTTCCACTTAAAATAAATTAAGTGTGCACTTAGTAAAGAATAAGTCTAATATCTATAAATTCCACGCTTACACGGTTTTAAAGAGTCAATTTTAGTCCATAGTATTGCCAGCAATTTAGAGAAGAAAGTATCCCAAAAGGTGACTAAAGATAATGTAACGATTTCCGCTCAATTGTTAAAGAGTTTACAAGGATTTGATGATGCAGAAAAGGTATAGGATCAAAATTATGATATAACGGTAGAGTGGGGAATGCAATCCCGCAGCAAAATCTCAATCCCGGTATTTGCAGGATTGTTAGATGTTCATCCCGCGGGATCCCGGTATTTGCGGGATCCCGCAAAACTTTAAATAAATTTGCAAATAAGCAATTCTGTGCGGTTAACTTCTGTATTAAAATAAATCGCTAATTATCACAATATTTAACAAAAAAGTACCTTCAGCCTAACTTAAAACTCAAAAAAAGGTGAACTTCTAAAGTGCCTCAGAAATTGAATTTTCTTTCGAAATTGGTTTCTAGTCCATAACTTTTGATTGAGAAGTCTGATCGAAAAAGTACGAATTGTTTTGGATTCTACGCACAAAAATTAATAAGAAAAAGTGTTTTCCCGAGAAATTTTGGTGCAGTCGATTTTTGGTAAAAAAGGAAGGTTGTACACTGCCTTTTTTGAGCCCCGAAAAAAAAATTGTCTCAGATCGACCCGGAAAAAAATTTTCTTATAGAATGTGGCCTGATGTAGAATCCATAATTTCAAACAGTTCCAAGATTGGGCTACTAGTTCAAAAGTTACAGCCCTTTGAGTTTTCTTTCGAAATTGGTTTCTAGTCCATAACTTTTGATTGAGAAGTCTGATCGAAAAAGTACCAATTGTTTTGGAGCGTAGTGCCACCCTGTATATATAACGCACGGGAAATGTAGGCGTAATGGACACGGGAGCAGAAGTGTCATTCATTTCTTAAGATGTTGTTACCACTAATTTGGGGACAGTTTTAGTAGCGACAGGGGCGAAAGTTTTATTAATTTTCCATGATTTTTAGATACAGTGATATTTATTAAGAAGTAAACATAGGGATTTACGTGTGTTTTCCTCTATGTCTACTTTTTAAAGACAAAATCGCATCTCAAGAGTGCCTAATTTTATGCATCCAAAATAACTTTTTAAAACAAATAAACTTCTGGCTGTCATATTCATTAGTTTCAATATTGTTGTTTTGGCTTAACAGAAAACCAATCTTTTACGCTCCTTAAACTCTTTCCGGCACAACACCAATTGACAATATCAACTTCCTCTTCAATTGAATACATCGCACACGAACGAAAATAAAAACACGGAACCAAAGCAACAATATTTAAATTAATTTATGTAACAGCCAGATCTTTATTCGTTTTAAGAAGTTATTTTGGTTGTATAAAATTAGGCCCCTTCATAAGATATTTTGTCATTTAAACAATAAAGATAAATCCCTGTGTCTACTTCTTAATAAATAGCACTGTATAAAGTGCAGGGGAAAGGTAAGTACCCTTAGTAGGTACAGAAGCGGAAGCTTTATTTTTTACTATAAAAGACGTTGGAGGAAAGTCGGGATTTCTTTAGTGGACACAGTAAAGGTAGTCTTATTAATTTAAAGAGCCTGTTTTAGCGAACAGTAATAGATGTTTCAATTTCAAGAGCAGAAGAATCGTTAATATACGAGGATTTTATTATAAAGAATTTTTTCAAATATGGATCGTGTGACAGCTACGCCTCGCAAAATATCTTTCTCCTATTTTCTTTTTGATAGATGGATGAACATAAGTAAGAAACTGCGCCGAGGTTACAATGTGACACACAAATCGTCGGTGGCGAGGCACAAATTAACAAATGAGGAAAATTTAGGTGCAAATTTTCAAACACATCTAGGATGGGAAAGTGTTTTATGTTTATGTTTAGGTTAGGGCGCGAGTAAATTAGTAATCTTACTATTATGTTTTTAAAGGCAAGGAGTCTACGATTAGTTGATGAGTAACAGGGTATAGGTGATTCAAATCTGCTCACATTAAAAGCAGTGACGTACTCACCTTGTTCAGCGCTGACCGTAGAGATTTTCATCAGGTTCGGATCGGAGTAGGCGTTAATCAGGTGTGGGGCCCCTCACATGAGTTGATTATGGTGGATGTTGGCCAGTAGATGCTGAATGGGGGATGTCTTGAAGTGACGACGCCTGTGAACAATTCAGAAAGTTAGTAGGAACGGCGAAGTACAATCTCAAGATGTGTTTGTTTATTGATCAACTAATTTCATGAGATGATTAATAAATCTTGTTCCATTAAGACTACGTACCAGGAGTAGCAAAAATGTCTTCCATTCCGCAACCGTAGATAATGCTAACGTTGTGGAATTCGGCACCGGATGCACTCTAGATAATAGACATCAGATTTTGTGTAAAGACATTGGCATACTCACATCGATTGTTTAGATCAGGTTTGACCATTGCACTGTCGGGTTGTCAATCTTATCTGTGTGAGAAATGTGAAGCTGAGGAGCGAAGATGAATTAGTTGAACAAAAATGGAGGTGGGGCGTTAGTCATTCGCAAGTGACTGAAATAGTCCCACTTTCTGTTTGATGCTACCAGGGAATTATACGAGTAAGATACCTCTATGCCATTACTTCAGATACATGATACGTTTTAAGAATAAACTTACTGGGAACAAAACTCTTGCGAGATGGTAGCACAATCCTATCCGTCACAAAAACCTTTACAACATCATAAATTTGTGAAACTACGATCTCGTGGTTGTACTAAATAAGCATTATGGAGTAAATTGATTTTTAAAGGAAGGAAGGGGGAAGGATGGGGGGGAAGGAATGGGCCCACCACCACCCCTGCTTGTCTTGGTCAAGCAGTCCACTTTCGGGATAGGAAGTCAGTTGGCAAGGTGGCACTTGCGTGAAATGGAAAAACTTTTAAGGTTACAGTATGTGGCGCCTGCGCCATGAGCAAGGCTAAAAGTCCAATATGGCAGGATTAGAATCGTAACTAAAGATTAATTAATTGAAAAAAAAATGGAGGTGGGGCGTTGGCCATTCGCAAGTGGCTCAATTGGTCCCACTGAACCCCCGAATATTCACTTACCGTTTGATGCTACCAGAGATTTATAGCATTCCCCCAAAACCATTGCTTTAGAAAACGTAAGAAGTTGTATGAATAAACTGATAAAAGACTGGGAACAAAACTCTTGCCAGATGGTAACATAACCCTTAAGCATGAATAAACTAAACCCGGATCAACGATTTAGAGGATTGCCATACATCTTCCGTTCTAGTAGAATTTCCTCACTAAACACCAGCACTAGTACGATAGCGCGCGTTTCCCGACTCGGTTTTGGACGCTTTATTAGAAGGTGATTATTTTATGTGCAGAGATAGATAATTATAGAGAGAGAAACAGGTGTGTACCTGTATAGCAGAATAAGATTTCTGTATATAGTCAAGATTAAATAGAACCGGATAATTAAACGTCAGAGTAGAATAATTTTAAACAGATCATTTACCTAACATGAGTTTTCAACTGGATAGAGTAGGTAAATACTCTCAGTACATTATACGAGTATGCAACATCGATTGGAGACATTGTAAAAAAAGAAAGATCCTACCTTTATAAGGCTGCCCTTCTGGAATCTAGAACAAAGAAAAAATTGCGTTAGGGAGATGAAAGAATTAAGTTCAAATACTCAAAATAGTTTGCTTAATCCCAATACGGCTTACCAGGCCTGTTTTATATGTTATCTTATGTCCACTGGAAGAGACCTTTCTGATTTGTCAAGAGGCCATTGGTAATGCAAGTACTGTGATTACTTAACGTATATGTTCTAGTTGAAGTGAAAACATACCCTTAGCCTTATCAATGCGGCCTTGCCTGGATGAAACACAGCAAGGACGGACACCGTAAGAAGTGAGGGTACCTCACATCTGAAAATTAAAACGTTACAAATTAGCAAAGGTTTATAATGCCACAGTGTCATAAAACAATATTGTACATTTTCTACACTCTACAGATAAATATTGTTTGAAAAATCTTAAAAAATGTATAATTAAGAGTTCCAAAATAATGTACGGGCTTATTAGAATTTTCTGGAGAAAAATACTTCACATGGTTCGTGTGTCAATATTAACAGAGATGTTGCATTATATGTCTGGGAGTTGAAGTATACAAAACCCAAATAACACAATTCAAATGCAAGTTTAATTCGTGATGGGTAAGACCTATTCTTAGCAATAATAGATTGTTACCTCAAAATGTTGTATCTGCGCTAATATTGACGCAAAAAACATGAGAGTTCGTCCCACTGTAACCCCAAATTCAAAGTTCTTACAAAAGAAAACAAATGAGTAAGGAAAAACAATTGAAATTGTTTAAATAGCAATGTATCCTCTCATTTGATAAAGATTTTTTTATCTTTCCCTTGACGTAACATGTACATACATTGCTATTCAAACAAATTCAATTGTTTTTCGTTATTCGTCTGTTTTATGAAATAAAAAAGCAACTGAATGCTGCCTTATTATGGGAACCAAAAATTAAAAAAAAACTTTTATATAGAGAAATTTTGGATACAGTCGTTATTTGCTGAGAGATATACTATACTCCATACATAATGGGCACCCTGTATACAATCATTGAATAAAGAATCTGAATTTATTATTTAATGATACAATATCATTAATGTCACAAAAACATATGGACTGTAAATATTTCACGTTTTCACGTATGTTATATTATACGCGTATAAAAAATCTCGTGAAATTTCATTTAGAACATCTGAGATATTGTTGTGGTTTTTGATTGTGTTAATAGTGTGCTTGAATTTCATTTGTTGGAAGTGTCCATATTTTTTTGTCTTTCTCGTACAAAGGAATTTATATTTTCCGAGATATTTTCCATTGTTTCAATGATATTTATTGTTTAGAGTTTTTCTTATACAGGGTGGTGACTTGCGTAACGCATCATAGGGATTGCAATGTAAAATTCATAACATGCGATTATTGGCTCCCCAAATTATTTTAGAGTAAAAATGTATTAAGGTTTTTTGTAGGAAAAAATTTTTTACGTCAATAAACCGTATTAGTTTTCAATTTTTTGCATAATAAAGACGGAAAATTGGAAAAATAAAACCCCCATCTTTTTCAATAATCTGTGATGCCATGGAATTTTATAATGCAAAAACTACGCCAATATCAGTCATGCCATGGAATGTCTGCTATAAAACAAATCAAATTCTATTAAAAAGTATTATATTTAGACCAGCGATTTCAACATAAAGAAAGAGCAAATTACTAAAAACGGTTTCCTAATATAACAATTTACAATAAATGTTCGAATAAGTCACCATTAACTGCAAGACAGTAACCAAGTCGATCATAAAATCCATTTCGAACTGACTGCTGCTAATTGATAACTGGATATCTTTTTGATTTAGAAAATTCCATGGCATCGCAGATAATTGAAAAAGATGGGGGTTGTATTTTTCCAATTTTCCGTCTTTATTATGCAAAAAATTGAAAACTAATACGGTTTATTGACGTAAATTTTTTTCTACAAAAAACCTTAATACATTTTTGCTCTAAAATAATTTGGGGAGCCAATAATCGCATGTTATGAATTTTACATTAAAATCCCTATGATGCGTTACGTAAGTCACCACCCTGTATATATGCAAATATGCATAGGGATGTAAATCTTAGGAATAAATTAGTGAATTAGTAAAATGGGGCACGTAATCGAAAAAAAATAAAACGTAGTGAGAGGTTTACCTCATGCGCGTATGGGGTTTTGATCACTCGGAGAGAACTATGAGACTAGTATGGAAGTGATTAAAAAAACAATTTAAGGTCGTGAAGCGAATTTTTCATTACAGAATAACTTACCTAGTTCGATTGAACCTTGACAGTTTTCACCGTAGTTGGGGTAGACTGGAAATCAGGTGAGATCCTCGAATGGCTGGTAGTAAGTCCGTCACGAACACTGCGAACAATCAAGGAGGTTAGTGCGTCCGACGAAGAGTAGCAGAAGTTTGTATTTAAATATGAAAATTTTGATTGAAAGGGACTGCGACAGCTAGTAAATCTTCAAAGAGACCGAGAAATAAATTCAGTGAGTTGTATAAACACTTTAGAGGCAACTATCATAAATTCTAGGTCGTTACACAGTGTCTCAATCTGAATATCTCGCGAAACAGAGGAATTGGAAAAACACCGTTTGGAATAACTATCATAGAGGTTGTGGTAACCTGTACCAACATAATTTTGTGACGGAGTGAGCCATCCCTTAAGCGCCCCCACACCGACTCTCAAATTACAAATGGCACCACCCCCTTTGTCGTACCTTTCAAAATGCATTCCATTTTGTTGTAAACAAAAGTATAATTTATTTTCAAATGCTATTTTAATATTCTCAAACACTGGTCTTGGAATAGATCTGCATTCTGTAATAATGCGTTGCCGAAAATCTTCTATTGATGCAGGTTGTGTTTTAAAGACAACAGTTTTCAAGTGTCCTCAGATAAAAAAAATCAAGATGTGTTAGATTCGTAGATGAATTATACAACTCAATGAAATCTTTAATTTAAGGTATGACAACGGGGGTGGTGTCATTTGAAATTTGAAAGTTGAGGTGAAGGTCGCTTAGAGGTGAATGAAGTTATGGTAAAAGTAGAGATAGCTTTAGTAGACACAAGAGCGGAAGTTTAACGAGCTTCCAATGGTTTTTATAAAAATGTAAAATGTATGGGAAAAGTAGGGGTCGTTCTGAAGATAAGCAACGGTTTTATAGGGATAGAGTTAGAGCGAAAATGTTATTAATTTGCCAAGATTTTAATATATAAAAAATGTAGGGGAAAGCTATACTGGATACGGAGCGGAAGTTTAATTAATTTACCATGGAATTATTATTAAAAATGTTGGGAAAAATTAGGGATAGCTTTAGTGGACACGGGTTCGAAAGTAATTACTGTCTGGGAATTTCATAAAGTAATAATTTTTAGTATAAAGGTAGGATAGGAGATGTTTCAAATTTCTCTGAGGATTTTAGTTTTGTTGGATAAAGGAGCAAAAGATTCATTAGTTTCATACGACGAAGAATTTATGAAAAAAACAGAGATAGCATTTGTGGATACAAAAGCGAAAGAAAGGTTAAACAGTTTTTGAGGATTCTGTCACAAAAAAACTTAGCTTTTGCAGATCGAGGAGCCGCAGATTCATTCTCAATAAAGAATTGGGGCGCAAAATTGGGATTGCTTTAGTGGATACGCGAGCGGACGTTTAGAATGTAAGGGAACAAAAGGGGTAGCTTTTGTAGACGACAAAGTGAAAACTTAATTAAAAGTCCCGACGATTATTATGTAAAAAATGAAGAAAAACGTGCTTTAGTGAATAAGAAAGCGGAAGTTTCATTAATTTCCAAAAAAACTATATTTTAAAAAATTTAGGGGAAACTAGGGATAAGCTTTTGTGAATACAAACGCGGAAGTTGATTAATTTCTGAAAATTGTATTACAAAAAAAAGGGCAAACGTAAGTAATTGCTTTTGACAGATTTAGATGATACAAGGGCGAATTTCAATAATTTACGAGGTCCTCTTAGGGGATACAGGAGAAGTTCCATGAATTTTCGGGGATTTTAATGTAACAGGCCAGTAGAACCATCAAATTAGAACAATCGGATTTAAATCCTTCCAAAGGTTTTATTGTTTTAATGACTTCATTTGTTGGCCAATATGACCTACCCCCCTGATACCCCCCTGATACCCCCATGCTACTCCTGAGGTCATCATTACCGAATTAATGGTGGTGACCCATCACTCAGGAGAAATTCCTTTCCAATGGAAGTCTTTTACAAGATACCATCGTAAAACAGCAAAAATACACTTCTTGTATTTATATTGTTACCCCTCGCTACTTCAAAACAACTCCGTCGGGGGGCGAAAACCTAGGGTATTTATAATAAACAACAAATGAAGCCATGTGTAGGATTTAAATACGATTTGGATTTTAATCCTACTGGTCTACAAAGAATTTAGGTCCGGCTAGCTTTAGGGGATACTAGAGCAGCAGTTTAATCGATTTCCGAGGATTTCAATAACAACAGTTTATAGAAAAACAGCTTTTGTGAATAAAAATGGGAAGTTTAAATGATTTCTAACAATTTTGTCGTATAGAATATAAGGCAAATTAATTTCTGAGGATTATAAACAATTTAAGGAATAGTAGGGATAGTTCTTGTGTCCCATAGATTTTGTGATTAAGTTTAATTGATCTCTTAGGATTCTGTTATAAAGAGCTGAGAACAAAATCCGAGATATCTTATAGTGGATACAGCGGCGGAATAATCATTAATTTTCGAGGGTTTTGTTCAAAAGAATGTATGGCAAAAGTAGGGATAGGTTCACTGGAAACAGGAGGGCAAGTTTAATCAATTTCTGGGAATTCTAATTATAAAGAATTGTGGGGCAAAATAGGAATAGTTTTAGTGGATACGGGGGCTGAAAGTTTATTGATTTCCGATTATTGTTTATACAAAAGTTAAGGGAAAACTAGTGATAGATTTACGGATTACTGGAACGGAAGTGTCATTAGTTTCGGCTGGTTTTATTACTCAAAATTTAGGAAAATGTATTGTTTGATATTTAGGATGACGGGGCTACGAGATTTTAGAGGCGAAAGAGTAAATGGAATTTAGCCATTGGGAATGTATGAGCAATACGAGTCGCCTGGGGGGGGGGGGGGGTGCACGTGTAAATTCTTTGAAAGTATTAAACGATTACACAGCGTTGTCACACAAATAAAAATAGATATCATTAAATCAGCAAATTTCAAAATATCTGAGATTTTTGTAACTATATAGGGTGTTTTATCCACATATTATAGTACTCAGAAAAAGAAGTTTTAATAACATAGATCCCAAAATTAAGTGTTTCAGAGTAAATTCCAATGGCTATTAAAAACAAACGAACAGTGTTGTTTCGTAATGTAACATCAAATACATCAAAAAGATGCTCTGTGTCCTTCCATTTGCACACAGACTGCAAATTTTCGTTGAAAATAAGCCCTTATTGGTTCGAATATTCTTGGATTTTGACCAAAATCTATCTGAAACATTTAGCTTGTGGACCTATAAAGACTTTTTTGTTTCGTTTCAGTACTAGATAAAATATCCGACATTTTGTTGAAACACTCTGTATAATATTTTTGAAATTGATTTCATCATGGTTTCATGGTAAACTGTGCCCACTTCCAATTGTTCCAGGTAATAATTTTATATTAAAGACAGTGACTCACTCACCTAACTCGGTTGCACCTTGGTATTCTCCACAAGGGTCGAAGTAGACTGGAATCAGGTGGGATCCATTACAAGGGTTGATCTTGACCTTGACCGTCTTGTAGTAAGCCCATTACAGACTCTGTGAACAATCGAGGAAGTTAGTTCGACCACCAAAATGTAATCGCAAAGCGTGCTGGTTTAGTAATCCAACTATTCCACCCAGCGCTATCATCTCACTAGAGACAAGGCAGGATAAAATAATTGGTTCATAAGCGAGCACGCCTACATTGATTTAATTACCCACCTTCTTGTAGATACCAACGAACTAATCTTCTTAAAATAGTAAATGGGATCTAACCATTCAAGTTGATAACGGAATTATTAACTGCAATACTTCCCCTTAGTCTGATTCACTAAGAAAATCGGTTTACTTTACGAACTGACATGGCTATGAATTCATAGTCATACTGATTTATGAAGTGAACTGATTGACATCGCGAGAGAGACCATTAAAGGAATTATTGCAGTCAATCGCCGCATCCCACTTAAAATTACAAGAAGATCAGCTAAAATATTAAATGTTGATGTACACTTCAGTCACTGTATGCACTATTCACTTTTCCCCCACTCCTAGATACATAAAAAAATACACATGCATATAATGGAAAAATCCTACCTTTATAAGGCTGCTCTTCCGTAATCTGAAACAAAAAAGAAATATTTCAAGAACATGAAGTCATATTATACTTATCTAAAATTAACCAAAACAGTCTATGGTTAGTCTAAATGTTACCATTACATAAATGTGCTACGCTAAGTGTTAAAGAACAAAAATTCTAAGAATGAACGAATCAAATCAATCTTAAGTGGATATTTACCCTAAGCCTTATTGTTTCGCTCTCACCGGTGAAGGTCTACATGCCGCGCACAGGCTTGATGAGTTGAGGGTAACTGAAAAGTGAAAAACATACAATAAAAAAAAGCTCTTAGTTGTGACAAGAATTAAGGATCTTATAAAAAAACAGTTTTCATTTTTGTGATTAGCGATTTCAGTACCATACTACGTTAGCAGATTCCAAAGTTCTCGAGATTCAAATTATATTATACAGTGTGAAAATTTCATCTGGAACACAATATATCATCAAACCAACATTTTTTTAAAGAAGCATTTTGTGGTACCTATCCAAAATTATAAAAAGTTTGCTACCAATCTACGCACTTTAATATCTGTGGTCAGTGGCGTACTTCTGCATGGTAAAAGGGCCATGCTTTTGTAAGTGCACTAGTTTTTATTACTTATCCTTAAAGAGTACACATTTATGGATACCGCAGCATAAAGAGCTTATTATATTACATAATGAAATTTAAAAGAAAAACTCAAATTAAGAAAAAGAGACTGACCACAAATCTAAATTACATAGGTTGGTAGCCAACTTTTAAGAATTTTGGATACCATAAAGAGCTTCGTTGATTCAGACGTTCCCGACAAAATGTTCACCATGTATATGTATAGAGTGTAACATACCTCAATTGCCTGACTCAGATCTGATGCATCACAGAAGTTGGAGATTGATCGACACACGTGGACGGAAACCGCATGCAAGGTCCTGCAGTCAGCTCATCAACAGTACTGTGGAACAAGAGAAAAGACTAGTTAGCAGGCCTATTAGGCCCATTATGCTCTTTAAAATAATGTGTTGGCCATGTTCGTCTATTAACCAATTTTACAAAAAAAAAACGTATTTCGATGAACTCAAGCATTAATAAGCGAACATACGCCGATCGTGATTTAATCACTTACCTGCCTTTAAGAATCTTGAGGCTGATTTTCATACAATACAAAATGAGGCATAAAAATCCTCAAAGTCCATCAGCTTGGTAACGGAAGTATTGACTGAAATACCTCCTCATAGTCTGATTCACAATAGAACCCGTTTACTTTATAAACCCATATGGCTACGAATTCGTGGTCATAATGATTGATATTGTAAACGGATTAATACCGCGAAAGAGACTAGTCGAAGAATCATTGAAGTCAAAAGTGGCGTTACCAAAATGATATCCGGAGAAGATCTCCACAACTCACTTGGTACTTGAAAATCAGCCAACATGTTACCTACCTTTTAATCACTGTATGCACTATTCACTCCCCCCTTGCTAAATACACAAAAATAAAGTAAAAGAGCACATGCATAAGATAAAAAATCCTACCTTTGTAAGGCTGCCCTTCTGGAATCTGAAACAAAGGAAAAATTTGCGTTAGAATTACGAAAATTGGTAAAATCATTAGGCTAATTACACACAAGCAAGGAAGCAAGAGTTGCACAGCCACAACTACTGTCCACATAATAGAACAAGATACAAAGAATCGCATTCGAGTTTCAGTAAGGGAATTTTTGCCACCCAGCTCGTATTTGGAAACCAGACTTTTGATCCGGATCATATTCAATTGCACTGATCCTTGAACTTGTAGAAATCGATTGGACATCGTTTGACATTGCTATCTCTGTTCGTTCTAGAGTTACAAGAAGAACAGACGGACCGACAGACGGACAAAAACATCACATAACCGGACACAGACGAAAGAAGACTAAGAAAAACAAAAAAATATCGTAAAGTGAAGTAAAGTAAAGTAAAGAATTACAATTACATAACTTTTTTTCAAAAATTGAATAGACCTTTTCCTTCTGATTTCAAAAATATACAGGGTGTTTGCTAAACATGCCGCAAAAATTTAAGAGGTAGTTCCTTGATCTACTTTAAGCACATTTCATCCTTTGATAACCTTTGGAGAAGCGCTTTCTTAGCAACAATTTAAGAGATTGGATAGTTACTGGGTGTAACCATTGAGTGGGTAATTACTTGTTCAGCGCTTTCAACCTAGAATATGTCTCCGTAAATAATAACGTTGGCACTCCGCAATTCCAACATGCGCACATTTGATTTTTGCAATATGAAATGTGCTGGCTTCTACTAGATGCATCTCTGGTTAAAATTTCAAACAAATATCTCAATAAATAAAAAAAGTTGACATTGAGCAGTCTGAAGAAAGGGAAGTTTCATTAGCTCTTGAGATGTTTATTGTGAAAATCTTAGGAGAAATGCAGTGAAAGCTTTTACAGGTAAAAAAGCGCACGCGTCATTTAAATCTGCAGAAAAAAACGTAGAACAAAAGTAGCGTTAGATTTTGTGGATACAGGATAATTTAGGAGAAAAGCAAGAAATAGTGGATTACACGGGTAGAAGGTTTAGGTATTAATTTTCCAGGATTTTATTACAAAAAGTTCATAGGAAGAGCTTTATGGATACAGGGGCGACGGCTTTCGTTAATTTTCTAAGATCTTATAAAAAATGTATAGGAAAGTGGGCTAATTTTAGTAGAAGATACAGGAGTCAGGAAAATTGAGGGAAGATTTTAGTAGACACGAAAGAGGAAGTCCTATCAATTCATGGGGATTTTATTATAAAAAAGTTAAGGCAAACGTAGATATAGCTTTCGTAGATACAGGAGCAAAAATGTATACCTAAGATAGCGAAAGTTTAATTCATTCCTGTAGATTTTGTTCTTATGAAAAATTTATAAGAAACCAATTTCGAAAGAAAATTCAAAGTGCTGCAACTTTTGATCTGAGACAATTTTTTCTTCTTGCTTCAAAAAAGGCAATGTATAACCTTCCTTTTTTGACAAAAATCGACTGCACCAAAATTTCTCGGGGAAACACTTTTTCTTATTAATTTTGTGCGTAGAATCCAAAACAATTCGTACTTTTTCGATCAGACTTCTCAATCAAAGGTTATAGACTAGAAACCAATTTCGAAATAAAACTCAAAGGACCGTAACTTTTGAAATAGTAGCCCAATCTTGGAACTGTTTGAAATTATGGATTCTACAGGCCACATTCTATAAGAAAAATTTTTTTCCGGGTCGATCTGAGACAATTTTTTTTGAGGTTCTTAAAAAAAGGCAGTGTATAACCTTCCTTTTTTACCAAAAATCGACTGCACCAAAATTTCTCGGGAAAATTCTTTTTCTTATTAATTCTGGTGCGTAAAATCCAAAACAATTCATACTTTTTCGAACAGACTTCTCAATAAAAAGTTATAGACTAGAAACCAATTTCGAAAGAAAATTCAAAGGGCTGTAACTTTTGAACTATTAGCCCAATTTTGGAACTGTTTGAAATTATGGATTCTACAAGCCACATTCTATAAGAAAAATTTTTTTCCGGGTCGATCTGAGACAGTTTTTTTTAGGGACTCAAAAAAAGGCAGTGTATGTTCCTTCCTTTTTTATCAAAAATCGACTGCACCAAAATTTCTCGAGAAAACACTTTTTCTTATTAATTTTGGTGCGCAGAATCCAAAACAATTCGTACTTTTTCGATCAGACTTCTCAATAAAAAGTTATAGACTAGAAAAGAAACCAATTTCGAAAGAAAATTCAAAGGGCTGTAACTTTTGAGCTAGTAGCCCAATCTTGGAACTGTTTGAAATTATGGATTCTACAGGCCACATTCTATAAGAAATTTTTTTTCCGGGTCGATCTGAGACAATTTTTTTTGAGGGCCTCAAAAAAAGGCAGTGTACAACCTTCCTTTTTTACCAAAAATCGACTGCACCAAAATTTCTCGGGAAAACACTTTTTCTTATTAATTTTGGTGCGTAGAATCCAAACCAATTCGTACTTTTTCGATCAGACTTCTCAATAAAACGAAAAATTAGGGATAGCTTTAGCGGACACAGAATCAGAAGTTTCTTTACCCTCCGAGAACATGATTAAAAAATGTTTCGAAATCCGTTCGTGGGCGTTTCCGCGTAACACAACTGTAAATAATGAGTAACGGATCAAATATAGACCATTTCACCTACCAATTAGCGAAAACGCGAAGTCTCTAGGTGGCCCAGGGACGAACGAACGCTTTGAAATGTGTATTTCCGTAAAAAAGTGTGGGGTAATTTTTTACCTCAATGCAATACCTCATTACTAACATGCGGGTGGTAAAAAGCGACCATCCTCAAATATCAGCCGACTGCTTTTACGTGTGCTGTTAATTTGAATTCATTTTGGGTAGTATACTATTGGCACTTCTTATTAATCTTTTTTCTTTTGTACGCAATAAAATTTCGGACCTGTCTCCGCATTTTGAACCCCCTAGCTAGTCCAACGCATTTATGAACAAAAAGGAGTAATTAACATAAACATGTAGACTGTTTTTGAAAGCGATTAAATTTACGTCTATCTGTTATCAAAATTCCATTTCCGAACTTCACTTTAACGGCCACACGTGTTTGATGACGTGGCGCGTTATCTCTACACAGATGCGGCAGGTAACAATTGAGTTTCTATTTCTAATTTCATATTTGGATAATATTAAGAAAAAGTTACAATTACGATGGATCCTGGTTTGTTTGCATGATCAATAATTACTTTTTTGGGACATAAAGTGACGTAATTCAGTTTGGAAGATGCTAATTTTTTGACACGATTGACCAAAAACGCCGATAAAAAAGCGAAATCTACTAAATAAATGGGAAGCGCATTTTTGAATTTTCATTTACGTAATAGAAGTACCTTTGGCCTACCCATAGAAAGATATGCTACCCCTTGTAGTGGGTGCATTTAATTACGTTGGCTTTTACGTTGTCCTTTAATACAAATGAAGTAACTCACCCTAAGCCTTAACTCTCCAAGGGATGAGCCATTGTCCATCACCATTGGAAAAAGCACGATACATTAACACTGCACTACCAAACGATTAAAACTATCGCGAACAAATGCAATTTGAAAATTGTGAGGCAGAAGAAACGATAAAGCAACTTACCGGAGGTCAAATTCGCGCCGACGCAACGGCCTTATCTCTAATCGCAGTGAAAGGCAAAATTTATCGCAAATTTTGTATGCACCTGTTAACTAAACGTTGTAAAAGTACATTCGGGTTCAAAACTATCCAATTTAGATTTTTAGCGTATTTTGCTAAATGGGAGAGGTGGAATTTTATGAACTTCTTTCCCATCAGTACCATCTTTACTCAAATTTTACTTCACTGTGGCAAGCTTAAATAATCTGATATTTTTTTACAAGATACATTACGGGGACGACTCTTGTACGGAAAATATCTCCACATATCCGACCCTCGGTCTGTTCATCCCTAGGTTTATCCCTTTGATAAATTTTTAATTGTGAACTGCAATAGGCCTAAAATGTTCCTAATTGTAATGAGCAAGGAATTTTTTCATACGCTCCAAATTACAGACATAGATAGAACCTCTTCTAAGATTACAAACGAATTGTGGGCAGACAGAATATCGTCGGAAAAAATAGTATTATCACATGCCCTATATTACACTTTTTTAGGAATTAAATTTTTTAAACTTTGCTGTTCGAAGATTTTGATAAAAGATGTAAACGTTGAGATAGCTTTAGTGGATGCAGGAGCGAAAGTTTCAACTTTTGGAGGACTTCATTTTTAAAAAATGTAGGGGAAAATAGTGGTGGATACCGGAGAGGAAGTTTCGTTACTTTCCGATTACTTTGTGTGTATAGGATGGGCCATTAGTGCGTGAGTGGAAAATTGTAAGTTTAACGCCCATATTTAAAACTAATTGTCTGGAAATGTTGAAGAACTACAACCTAAAAATATTTTCAACGAAATTGCAATTATTATACCGGGTGATTTAAATATCAATGTTCCATTTTTTTTATAGAACTCGCTGTATATTACTGATATTTCGATTCCTTGTTCAATTTTAGTGTGACTGTTATTACACAAAATATCTAAAATGAGTCGTTTATCCGCAATTCGTCATTTTTGCCACCCAGACATTAGTAAGGAAAAATAACCTTAGTGGATACACGAGCAGAGGTTTCATTAATTTCCGGGAAAGGCACGGATAGCTTTAGTTTATACCTACAAGAGCGAAAGTTTTAGTAGTATTCGGGGAAATACACAGGGTATTTCGTATTAAGTATGTAAAAAAAATAGGTATGGTAGAGGTGATCGAAACAAGCACTTTTTCCAAATAAACCGAGGATCCAGCGTGTTTTGTTTCGGGGTGCTGAAATTTGCATTGTTT